AAACAGATTAACAGAAATAACAGTTGCATGTTTAAATATATATGTGTAGCTATACCATCATTGTTGTGGAAATCATTCTTAATAATTATTGTGAGGAATAATTAACTGACATGTGATCAAACAGTCTCTTCACATATATTATTATTATTAAAAGGTGATCTGTGCAGTTTTGTTATTCAGGAAGTTTGTATCAAATAAGTACCCCTTCGTACTACTCGGTACCCTTGAAGTAGCTCTCAGTTTGAAAAAGGTTGGTGACCCCTGCTTTATAGACTAACGTGAAGTCACGTGACCGCGGTGGAGTTCCTTTATAGACTAACGTGAAGTCATGTGAAGAAGAGGAGGAGTTTCTTCCTCAGCGGAAGGAGACCACGGACCTCCTCCAGGACAATGTGAGACACAGAGTTGATCCAGTGGGTTAGGTTTACGTATATATAATATACATAATATGTAATAAAGAATAAACCAGTTATCGAGCCGTGATGGACTTCTTTGGGACATTTCAACGTCTCGTCTCGTAGATCTAAACCCGAACATCGTGTTTGATTCCCGGACAATAAGCGGCCGTAGCAGCGATGGGAGCTCCGCGCTGAGGAGCCGAGAGAAGAGAAAGATGAGGGTCGCGCTGCGGAGCTTGTTGTTGTTTAGCTTCTGTTTCCTCATACGAGGTGAGTTTGTCATCGAGTCCTCTTGTTCCTCCCGGTGAGATGTGTGAGAGTGTTGGTTAACAGCCGGGAGAAGAGGCTTCTAACGGGCGGAGGTGTGGAGAGGTCCGAGGATCAGGGCCCTCTAGCTGTTAGCCTCATGCTATCAGTGCTGCTCCGCCTGTTTGACTGCTGGAGGAGCCGAAATAATCCACAGTTAGCTTCAGTTTGTATATGTTTTTATATTTATAAACTCTCACTGAGCCCTGTCCTCACACTTTACATCTTATTTTAACGCAGTTGGCATGCTAACTGTCTTATTTTAACACTGTTATTCATGATATCCGCTGTGGTAGTAACTTAGATTAGCATTGCTAGCAGCAGTTAGCACAACAAATGCTACGCGAGCGAGTCCTACAGCTCGCTGTAACGTTATATGTATACATATGTGATATTTAGCTAACAGCGGAGCTAATCGATACTATTATGTTATTATTGATTAAATTATATTGAACCACACTTATCTGTATTCAAACTGGAGCAGCTCATGTTTTCATGTTGTTATGCTAACAAGCTAGCTGAGGTAATTTCTGCTCAGTAACACTTATTATTAATAATGTTATTATTATTCATATTATTATATATAAATTAATTGATTTATCAGACTTATTTTTAAAGAGATGTAATAATTCAACAATATTTAAATATAAATATATGACTTAAATAAACACAATAAAGTTATTTATCAATGTTTCTAGATTTGTTCCTATTGTTTTATTTAATTATATTCTTTGCCTCCTTTTTTAGTATTTACACTTTTATTTTTATTTAATAATTAATTTCTTTAATTTGCTAACTATGTTCCGATTTCTAAATAAAACTCAGTATCTGTTTTATTCATTATTCTACACTAATATTTATTTCTATAGATTTCTATTTTTATTTCTATTAATTCTTCATTTAATAATGAGCCACAATATTCTGAATTGTTTTGATGTTTTTTGACTCTTTAAAAATACAGTAAAGTTAAAAGCTACTTTATAAAAAGATGTATTTTTATATTAAAAACATATAAATGAAATAATAAACCTGTCAGATAAATAACTAAATTCACTGGAAGTCATTTGCTGTTAACTAAAAGTAAAATACAGACTTTATTCTGTTGGTTATAAGTTATTTAACGATTACTTTCATCATCAATCAATCTGTTGATTATTGTCTGTTATTTAAATAGCTGTTGGTCAGAAAACATGAGAAGTCTGTTTTGTTTTGCCCAAAATATATTAATTTTTCTGTGATATGAAACCAAAGAACGCTTCATGTTTCAGCCTCGATCGATTGATCGATTATCTCAATAACAGCTGATCCGTTTGTTTGATTACTGAGCTGTGATCACATAATTGACTGGGACGTGTCGTAGTGTCCCTGAGCAAGACACTGAACCCCCGGCTCCCCGGGTGCCTGTCATTGGCAGCCCACTGCTCCCTATATACAGGGATGGGTCAAATGCAGAGGTCAAATTTCGTGTATATGTATATGACAATAAAAAGGATTTCTATTCTATTCTAAAAACATTAAAATATGTTATTCATATTTACCTCACTGGAACCAACAACATTCTGTTTATGGCTATTTACATTATTGATCAATGTGATGATTTATTTCAGGTTATTCGTTTTTAAATGTTTTGTTTTGTTCGTCCAACATTTAAATATTTTCCCTTTATTCTGATAGAAAACAGTAAATCCACACAATGGAAATGAATATTTTCCAGTTTAAACGGTGTATTTTTGTGTATTTTCCACAGTCTAAAGTGTATTGATGTTAACCTCTTCCAGGCGTGCCCCTGCTGCTCTATGCAAACCGACGGGACCTTCGGCTGGTGGACGCGGCCCACGAGAAGGCCAACTCCACGGTGGTGGTGGGTGGGCTGGAGGACGCCGCCGCCGTGGACTACATCTACTCTCAGGGTCTCATCTACTGGAGCGACGTCAGCGAGGAGGCCATCAAACGCACCGTCTTCAACCGATCACAGGCCAGCGTCGTCCAGATTGTGGTCCCAGGTCTGGCCTCCCCAGACGGACTGGCCTGTGATTGGTTAGGAAGTAAACTCTACTGGACAGACTCGGAGACCAATCGGATCGAGGTGGCCGAGCTGGACGGGTCCTTGAGGAAGGTTTTGTTCTGGCAGGAGCTGGACCAGCCGAGGGCCATCGCTCTGGATCCAGAACGAGGGTGAGTCTGAGGGACTGGGTTTCAGTCCTGGTTCAGGGGGAAAAGTGGGTCCTGGTCTAGTCTCTCTGTAGTGGTCCTGATGAAGACCAGTGGGAGTGGGTCAGTGAATCTCTATATCTATATATATCTATATATCTATCTATATATATATATCTATATCTATATATATCTATATATCTATATCTATAT